ATATATAGTGTGAATAAAATACTGGAGGATTTTTGTAGAATGTTTTGATTGCAATGTTACATCTAAACAAATCTGTAAAAATCAAATTTATTAAAAACCTAGTTTCTCCTTGAATTACTGTACTACTGCATTACTAAGTTTTTTGAAAGCCAGAAAAAAAAAAAAAAAAATTACACACACACACCCAATCCCACATTTCTGAGACAAATAGGGATATTTCCTGTTCTGCCATTTGTTTAAAAGCTGTAACTGAAAGGTTTGGAAACACAAGGAATTTAAGGAAGTTTAAAAAACCCAAACAACTCTTTAAACTAAACAAAACATAAAACAGGTTCCCACACATCACATGCAATCAGTTTTGTTCCAAGTATTTAATACTATCAGAAGGCTTTGAAAATCACAGTTCTCTAAAATAAAACAAAACACCTGTTTCTGATATTACACAGCTGAAGGAAAATCACCTCTATTTATCATGGTTCAGAACTCTGTACAGTACCATGAAAGAGAACAAACACTTTTCCAAGGCTGCTAACATCATGCCATCATGAATTGGGAAAAGTATTAAAATAATCACAAGTTGGAGGCTGGTTCTCTTGGAATTTTTTAAATTTTTTTCCCCCTCCAGTTTGTTGAAGTTGAGAGGGTTCTGACAACAGTCAAAGTAAAATTCAGGTAAAATGCTTGCAACTGTATTTTTTTCCTTTATTCATAGTATATCATTATCAGTCTTCTAACAATTGGCTTTTATAATGTTCAAAGTCAATTTTATATATCATTGTCTTTTTTTTTTTTAACTACCATTGCTGTAATTATGGCATGCTGTTACTAAAAGTTGAAAGTTTATACCAGGATGCAACGTATTGCTTGAGTGTCACCCCTTTTAACTGCCAGCACCAAAGAAACTATTATTTAATGAGCCAGCCAACTTAGGACAAACAGAATTTCAGCTGAAGTGTTTTGCAACCAATATACTGAAAATGCAGACTATTTCAATGATTAGTATTAACTGACGTGTATTTTTGCAGGCTATTTAAGAATTGACTGCTATGCATTTAATCTCATTTATAGGGCAGGTTTAAAAAAAAAATACCCACAATAAAACCACAAAACAAACAAACAAAAAATCCCAGAAATAAAATCCCAAAATAATAAAGAGAAAACTGAGGGGGGGAAAAGCAAATACATAAAACGTTTTTTCCATAGTCCAACTTAAATACCTTTACGCAAAGGTAAAAATATTAGAGATGTAAGCTAAGAAAATGGGCCCATCGTGTTATTTTCAAAGTCACATGCATCAAAAGAGTTTAGATCAGCAAAACAACAGAATCAGACCCATTAAGGAACAAATAAACATACCACAGACTTGTTTCTGTTGAACAAGTAGACATTTTCAGGAGCATGCAAACATATCACGCCACCTGCTACTAACCCAGCCTCTCATTCATGGACAGAAAAATCAAGGTAAAAAAATAATGAAGCATTTTTTTCAAATACCAGCCTTACAAAACAACTGACATGAGCTGCCTGAACTACAGAGACAAAGAAAACTTCTTTCCCAAGAACAACCCATCTGCAAAGGTCCTCACAAGACACCAGGCAGTAAGTAAAGTGATATTTCACAAACAACAATCTCCTTTTCCTGTAGGCTAGGAAAGTGCAATAACCCACATGTCTAAAATTTTGAAGAATTTTCTTTGTGGCAAACCCACACTATCTCCTGTTTATACATGAAGAACACCCAATAAAATTGTTGTATGGCAAATAAAATTACCCTCTAAGTCTAGCTGTGAATAACTCTAAGCACATGACAGAAGAAGAATCAGCATGTTTTGGTTTAAACACAAGCTGTCTTCTTTTAATAGAGAGCCTGTCACACAGCAATAGGTCAGAGTCTGGCCTTTCAAAATCCTTACAGCGGCTTCTCAGGTCACTAGGGTTTAAACAATACTGCCAAAACTCTCAGTCACACACACACGCACAGACCAGTTGGTAAAAGATCTTCAGTGGTTCTCATTTTACCATGCCATTTTTTTTCCCTTTACATTTCATTGAGGTTATTATTCTACAGTGCCTTCCAAATTCCCAAAGTGAAAATACGTCTTGTTTAGGGAGAAATGGTGCTGCCAAAAAGCCTACATTTCTTAACTTTCTTTACCCTAAAAATACCTGGGGCCATACCACACTCTAACATAGAAGAAGTTCTAGGCAAAGCTTGCTTTTTTCCAAGTCACATTTTGACTTGGCAAACCTCAGCCCTGTGGTTCATGGCAACACGCTGCCCACAACACCCCCAGACCTGCTCGTTGCCCCAAGATTTCAGAATGATGTCTAAGAGCAAAGAACACTGCCCAAAGTGCAGCACTCAAAAATTCTGGATTCACTCCCAAGATTCTCCTTTCCCACACCCTGCTGACAACAGTACTGTGCTAGAATCCACTACGACACTACATTACTTGTAACTACATCAACATGTTGTGTGTGAAGACAGTACACAAAAACTCAGGCAGGGTTTTTAACCACAGCTGTACTTTTCCATGAAATACAATAAACCAACTACTGTTGTGCTAATTCAAGAGATCCTAAAGCCTATAATTATGTATGCCTGTAGAAATAATTATAACTCACACCTTTTAATTCTGCTCAGCAGGTAGTGCTAATGTCTCAAATGCAATTTAATAAAATTAAAAAAAACATATTAAAGTAACTAGTCAGTCACAAATAATACTGCCTGGCACAACATAAACAACCTGTAACTGCAATATCTGATAAGCACATGACTTCACATGTCCTTTCCATTTCTATTTTATTTCCATGATATTAATGTACTACATTTCTTTGCAAAACATTGTATAATCCACACACAGTACCATTTTACATATTAGCACTTTCAGACGTATTCCAGGACTACATTCCATTTACCACATTCATATGCCTATTTGAAAACATTTCAGTTACTGATTTCACATAATTTTCCTCCCATAATCTAATTAATGTGCCCAGTAAGATCTAGTAGTTGCCGTATAAAGTACAGCTGCATGAAGCATGAGTTCACATTGTTGACTACAGTTTTATATAGTCTTCAAAAACTGTTTGAATTATATTAGCAATAATGCTTATAAAACAGAGTAACTTTCCCAGAAGTGCACAAGTTCACTAAGGAAGAGGGATAATCAGCAGATCAAATGCCACACACTAAGAGTACACTGCAGCTGTTGCAATCTCTGCCTAGTGCTGCACTGGGCCACGTGCGGCAAGAGGCAGAACGCACCCACCTGTGTTACCATGCAAAGGTTACCCACCCGGGAGAGGCAGGTTATTGAGCATTCTTTTATGATCAATGGAGAAATTGAGAAAAATCATCTTCTGGACATTTCTCTCTCTGACTTCAGAGACCCTAAACATCTAATTTGAACTAGAAGCTTGAATTCAGCAGACCCACCAAAGAGATTCCCACTTTAAGAGTGCTTAAAACAAATGAGAAATAAAGAACTAGATAAAATCAGAAATACCCCACAAAAGTAGAAGCAAATCTGCTATTGTGAATATTAGAAAGTAATTCTAAAACACTCAAAGATAATTCTTCTTCCTTTAAGGGACCTTTTGACTCTTTCGTTCCTTTCCTAATTTGTGCAAGTTATTCCCCACCCACCCCCATCCTTTTTGATGGGGGAAAAAGAAACAAAAATTCCTTCCCTCCTACCCTGCCTTTTTCTCCACTAGCATCTATGGGAATCCCTCTGACGCATAGTGTTACATCATTGCTTTTTAAACAGAATTCCCAAGTTATTTTATTAGGTATATCTGTACTAAAATTGGTGACATTGGTGGACTGAAATGTGTTTCAAGTCCTGCATCAACACTGCAGAATTCTTATTCTAATATTGACTGGCACTATGAATAACTGTGTCGAATCTGTTATCATATTAGCACACCTGTCCAGCTTCTTTCTTTCAAAGTATTTATTCTTCCTTGTTTGTTAAGACAAATTTAAATACCCAAATTCACAAAGCAGTCCCCCGTAAGTATCCTTAATACAATGGAGTCTCATCAGTAGAATTTTCTGGAACTACACTCACAGATTTATTAGTTCCCCCACACAGCTATTGTTTAAAAGATCTTCAAAGGGCTTGTTTACTAAAACAAGTGCCAATTGTGTTTTCAGTTGCACTCAAACTGCCTGCAGTATGGGGCCACCATGCTAAAGGAGAAGAATGCCTTTGTCAACTGCAGTTTGAAGTGCTGTAAACAGATTGATATAAAGCACCAGAAGGTTTACGCCATAGTGTCAGCATTTCTTCCTCCGACTAAGCAACTCTGAATATGCAAGTAAATTTAACAATATTTTTAAAAAAGCAACAGTATCCTATAGCAACAATATAAAAGGTTAACATATGTTATCAGTCTATCTTAAGTTTTACGCCACTCTTCATCACGTTGGTGATGAAGCTGAGCAGCTTCCTATAAATACTAGTGATATCAGACAAAGTCTGAATTTTCTTTAATCCTAAGTATACTTAAGTGAAAAAGTTTTGTTGCAGACTCCTTTGAGGCCAGGATTTCATCTCCTCACTTTTTACTCATATTGAAGTCTACACCACGGTTGCTCTTGCAAGTGTTAACCTGGTTTCAAGAACAAGGTTTTCATTTAAATAGTTTTATAGCATCTTCTAAAAGGTAAAAGTACTTTTGAAATAATCTCAATTTGTGAAATAATCTCAACTTCCAAACATGTTTCACACTCACAACTATTTCTGCAGAATGCTATGGGGAGGAGCAGGGAAGAGTGATAAATATGAGAGTTCAGACTCAGAGAGTACCATTCAGAAGGCACAATGGGAGAACAATGAAGATGAGACACACAGAATAAAGATGAGGCACACTTAACAGTTAAAAAACAAGAGCCTGTATCTGTTAATCTTCCGCCAAAATATACGAGGATCCATATCTACCTCTTACTTTGGTGTCAAATAAACTATGAAGATAGCCAAGTATTCAAGGACTGCATTTATAGAAGAAACATAGATCATGATGGCCATTACAGTACACTCCATCTTAATGTAAAAATGCATCCAATTTCTTTTTGATATGTTCAAAAGCATCTTTCCCCATATAGTCCATGCGTCCTTCCTCCCATTTTCTCCGTTCATCTTCTGGACTTGGTTCTTCTGGTTTGAAGTGAATAGACAGCTCTGAAACAGAATGTGCGACCTCGTTCTGTGGGAAGAAGCAGAACAGTGGGGAAAACAGTCATTTGGTCGTTCTCATGTCAGTGCTGTGAAGTTAAACCTTAAATGTCAAACTTCTGCTTTATATACTCCCAGTTAAAACAACAAACCAAACAGTATTCAAACACTCATTCTTGTTTTGATAATGCTATCTCATTTTCCCATGCTTTTACTACTTTTCATAGCATCTTTGAACATACCAAACATTTACTTCACTTGTCTTAACTCAGACCTTGACATACTCAGAAACACCACAATGAGAATAGGACAAATACAGCCTGGTTAGAGTAAAATATCTCCTACAATAAAGTGTAAGCTTGTATCTGTGCAAATTTTATCTTCAACTGGCTTTCATGTGAACATAAGTTCCTGGAATTTTAGGTCATTTGTTTTATCTGATCTCCTGTGAAATCAGTGTTGTTTAGCAGATGTGAGACACCTTACCCATATAAATTACTTCAAAAGATTGACACTATTCATTACACCTATTCATAACTAGTTCATTTTGAATGACAGTCCAAAATTATGAATCCTGATTCAAGATCAAGCTATCATAGTTGCACAAATGCAAGACACATTATTAGAGATAATTTCAACCAGGTAAAAGGAAAACTGTATCCATGATTGACCAATACCAGTAAAACTGGAACATCCCAACAATTATAATCAGTAATAAAGATGAAATATAACAAGGACTAATCAAGGCAACTGAAACCTGCTTTCAGTACTACTCCAAGAGGCTTTAAGGCAAACAATTCATCTCATGTTGTAAACAAAATCACAATCAACCAGAATGGCCTTCCAGTGAAGCCCTCACAAATTCCATATTAAGATGTTTCAGAATAGAACTTAATGGGCAGGAATCAGTGGCTTAAACTGCCCAGATCCCCTGGAATAACCATTACGTCTGCCAATTTGGGGCAGATAAGGCACAGGGACTTGCGCAAGACCTGCACCTGCAGGCCAGGTAAGGTATTTCAAACAGCCTACATGACCCTATGTGCTTGGGCATCTGCCTCCTTCCATACGTATGCCCACTGGGGTCCCACTCTGTACATGACTTTAAACATGAATAAACGCTCTGAAGAGCGTGCTTGCTCCCTATATATCCAAATATGCAACAATACTTGGTATTTAATTTCCAGGCTTTGTATACACACAACTACAGTAATGCATGAAGATTCCTTTCTTTACCATTGGCAAGCCTTATCAACAGCTTTGGATGCCCTTAACGAGACGATAGGAATCATCATGTTTTTAGAAATGAAGAATTTTAGCTATGGCCCAAACACCCCTGGCTGCACAGGAGCTACTGTTTCACCTACAGTTTTGTTTCTCAGTCTTAAAGTATTTCACGGTAGTGCTTCACAATCACACAACAGGCCTCATTAGGGAATGGCTGTGTTGTGTACCTTACGAGATAAAAGTCCTTGGCACCCTGTCACCCCCATCAATGCCAAGTCTGTCACCACTGTCATGCTGCCCACAGATAAATGCAGTGCAAGATCACAAAGGAAAGCCTAGTAGCTTAGGTTCCATGCCTGACTCACTGTAAATTCATTTTCCACTTGCTTGGAAACATCACTTAGCAGATTAGAAGAAAAAAAAACCACACAACACAAAACAGAACAAAAAAAAACCAAACAGCTTTACGTTAGTATTGGAGAGCTAAAATTAATACCATGCATTTATTACTTGGGGGCTAGGACAGGAAAATATACATTTAAAAACTAGAAGTTTTTAAAAGAAAACTAGAAAGGGATCATACCTCAGTATTGGAAGCAGTTAGGGAATTACATATCTAAAAGATTAAAGAATTTATTTGCACATTGCATCATAACTAGTTAAGATTTCCCAAAATTACATTGGCAGCAAAGACATGCATGCAACAGATGTACAATGCAGAAAGCTACATGTACCAGTTCTGAGGCTTCCTGAAACGCAGGATGAAATACAAGTTGTTCTGAAGGTCTGTCAGGCTCAGAGAGATGGACGTTAGAACCGCTTTGTTCAACTTCACATACAGGTTGCTAAAATACAGCCACTGAGGTTTTATTAGGAGAATATTTTTTCATAGTTTCCTTATCATGAGAATTCATACAATACAAATCAATTTCAGTCTTGGGGTAGGGGAAAGCAACGGATGGGAGGAAAAGGAATGAAACACGTTATCACCCAGGACAAAATTCATCTCACCCAGCTTTAACTATCAAAATGGCATTCAATCTAAGCTCCTACTATAATCAATCTAGGATAAGTACCTCCAGAGGGCAGCTCAGCTCATCCTAAAACGGGTTCAAGTGCCTGTCATTCTTCAGTGACTACAGAAACAGCTCAGAAAGCTAGCTTACAGTAGATGCCTACCATTCACAAGGCCAAACTTCAATGAGAAAAATCTCATTTTAGGATAATAGCTTGCTCTAACTCATGTGCTTTATATATACATAGAATAAGAACAGAACAATGCATTCCAAAACACAAGTAAAATAGACTGCCCGAAACATATTGCCCCAAATATTTGCCTTTGCCAGATATCAAAACATTAATGAGTAGACAGATCCCATTCTGAAGTGTCTTCCACCAAAATCAAAACAATCCCACAAGACTATTGAAGCTAAGCAAGGAAAAGTGGGATGATGGTGTTCCTAAGAAGAGAATTGGGCTATTAATTTCTAATACGATCTTCTGATAAGCCAATCCTACTAATTAAAAAAGAAATTTAAATTTGAAGGACACTAACTGAACATTTTTTTTTTTTACCCCAAGCAAACATATTGAAAATGTGTCCCTATTTGGTTTGAGCATTTCCAATGGAGTCAGATGTATGAGACACACAAGATAAGAATAATTTATTTGCAAAAGATGTGTTAAGTTATAGAGCTGGAAGTTTTGCAATTTTCCTTTAGCCCCTCCAGACTCAGGGCGGAAAAGAAAGGAAGGAAGACTACAGTTTTACTTTATGGAGTAACCGTAGTCTAAAGGGATTAAGCACTGAACATAATAAAATCTGTCTTCATCTTACTAGAGACTAGTCTACAAGTTACAACAGCAGATGACATTAGAACATTAATTTTATTTTCTCCCAATTGTACCTTGCTGTAGCATGGTTTATCATGCAACACGTAATGATGTACGGCTGCAGAAACATTGTGCTGTTATGTCAAACATAAGGGGAGTCAGTGCAACAGAAATACCCAAATACAAACACCCAAATACAAGAACAGTGACAAAAGAACCAGGAGCCCTACAATGATCATCAGTGGATTCTTTTAAGATACTCCTTGTTGCCCAAATCACAGAAATTTGGGGAAGAGTTTACAGAGTCAACACTTTGGGGAAAAAAAAAAAATTCTACAGAGGAATGATAGAAAGGATTCTAGTTTTAAATATATTAATTCACAAGAGTATTAATATTCAAAAGATTACTTTAGCAACAGAAATTTTTTGTATTACACTTTATTAAGTACCAAACTTCGAATAAGTAATCTCTTCATAAAATTCAATGTAAACTCTTTCAACCTCCAGACACATCATGCATGCATGACTAAAGATTAAAGAAAATAGATAATCTTTAGACTGTTTCTGACACTAGCAAGAAAATTCAATAGCTACAGCTAAATTGAAGAAGATATAATTTCCCAGATAAGAAACATAATTTTTAAAAAATCTCATTTTAGTATATCATTTTACTTTGTTACTACATATAGTAATAGACATCATACTTACAGCTTTGAAAGTGAGTTCCTCAGGTGAACATGCTGTGGGATATATTTCATATGTCTGCTCTGGAAGCACAGGCATTTGCAGCGAATTGGCCACAGAAGGACTGACTTTTTTCACTGTAATTTCAACTCCATTGAAAGTATGCTAACAAAAACAAGAACATCTCACCACTGAAATGCAATTTTGCAGGAAATTAATATCTTATTTACAACAGTTTCACTACCTTACAGGGATCTCTGCATTAAAGGAATAAGTTAATAAATTCAAAAAAGTTTGCGGTCCCAGATTTAGAGCATGTAGCAATTTACATTTTGGCACTCATAAGTATGCTGGCATCATCAGGAGGTAAATCTAACAGGTATTTCCATCTTTGTGTTGCCGTGGCTGAAATATTTCTTTACTGAACAGTTGCTTAAAATTTATGCATGTTAAAGTATGAGATCAAAAACTACCCATTCCTTCCTCTGCTTTCCAATTTCTCATGAGGTTAACAAACCAAATTCCTCTCTGGGACTTTGGTGGTAATCGTCCAACTGATCTTATGGGACTATGCCATTAGTTCAATGATAGTAATAGTCTAATATTAAAAAAAAAAAATTACATATGCATAAAAGTGATCTAAATTGTCATGTCTGGATACAAAATTAAAAATCATACTTCTCCTACTCATTACTTTATGCTGCTGGTCTCCAAGAAATCATCCATTTATCAATGGATTTTTTTATTCTATTCATGGAAACCATACATTGGTGCACTTCCTTTGCAGAAAAAAAAAAAACAAGTGTAAAGAGCTCAGTAAATGCTTGATGACATGAGTACCGAATATAACATCCTAAATGTTATTAACACTGCCTTTGCAAATCTGACTTATTTGTTATGACCCTCATGAAACAAGTTTAATGCACTTACGAAAAGGTAAATTTTACTGTAGTTCAAGGGCTAGTTTGATGGCCTACATCAACTATCTCCAAAAACTCAAAAGTCTGTCTGTTTCAAAGCCAGATTATCACCTTCTCTGGCTAATTTGTATCATATTTTGTGTTTAATTTGCAGAATCTATACACATACATTCCCATACAAACTCTTCATAAGTTAAGAAGGGGGATAGGGGAAACTTCTGGAAAGCCAATAGTACTAAAAATCCATCCTAAACTGCTTCTAGAAGCGATCACTGCTACCACCAGTCAACAGATACTATGTTTTTTTCATGTAATTCCTTCCTTTAGCAAATACATCATTTCCAGAATTTTTGTTGTGATTCTGGGATATTCCCACAAACTTCTTATTAGTTACCTTGCATTCCTCGGATTCCGATTCTTCTATCTTTTGAAGTTTTTCTAACAAAGGCAATATACTGGCACTGTATATATTCCACCAGAGGGCAAGAAATGATAGCTGATGAAAAGATCCAGAGGTGGTGCCATCCTGCATAACTCTCTTTGTTTGAAGGTTATATTTGTAGTTCCAGGGCTTTGTCGCTCCCAAGAAGTGAACAACTTTGGCATCTCTACCAAAACTATAGAGATTAAACATACAGGTCTATACATTAAATATATATACAAATTTTTTGCCTATATAAACTGCTAAAGAAAGATGCTTACTCTTACTGGTGAGGTAATTTCAACATTTTGCAACAGCAATACATTCAGTATGAATATATACTTAGTAATTTTTCTATCTTATTATTTTAAGGTATCTCATTTAGCATACAGAAGTCAAAAGGCTGCATTGCCATTTGCTTCCAGCTGTTGATTCTAGTAGAAAAGTTCATGAAGGAAAATGACAGGCTCATGTAGTATCATTTCCAGTCCTCCCGCATGCTCTGTTCACAAATAAATACCCCTTCAAACACTGAATCAAGAAACTTGATTATTACTGATCCCATATTAAAAATTACTGATAAATACACCATCCTAAGTTCGCCTTCCAGTAGGAGTGTTTTGTGCAACTCGAGCAGTAATTTGTGACACCCTAAATCCAACTTGCCTTCTGCCAGGAAAGTTTCCTAACTGCATTGTCTGAAGTCATATAATTACTAGCACAAATTTCATTTCACAGAAGAAACTAAGAAATTGTTTAAAAAAAATTAAAAACCCCAAACAACTGTTTCCCATAGAACTGACTGGAAAATGGAACAACATTCAAAGTAAAGCTGTCAGAACCTAATGCTAAAGTAATCTACATCTTTTCAAATATGAGAAAAGTTTCTCTGAAACAACATATGAAACAGTGTAGCCAGCTCTGGGACTCTCTGTGCATCCAGATGCAATACAAATGTCTTGCATGTGAGCTTCTACTGTATGATTTTTACATAATATCATTTCTGACTGTTGTAATTTATAATCTACAGAATATGCCATTATCATTCTTTCTTATAATAGAATGTCTGTTAAGAAACTACAGAGGTTTACAGTCAGTCAGAAGTGTTACTACTTACTGATTGAAAGCAGGAACGTAGGTGTATACAGCACTGCTGCTTAAGTTATAGAGGAAAGGTAAGTGTTTGCCAATATCTGCTGTTGCCCAGTTGCTGAAGAAGCTATTCAACAAGCCTTGATCACCCCCTAAAGAATATATAGAGCAGAATTACTATCATTACGCATATACTCAAATTTACGTCAAATTTTCACATCCAAGGATGGGAGTGAGACTGGTGTGTTCATGGGACTGCAACTTGGACTTCACAAGATGGCCATGTGAGCAGGTACAAGTGAATAATACCTGATCCACTCCGATGCAAGTTCAGTGTAAATGGACTCCTATTGTAATATATGAAGAAAGGAGTAGGAGAGGGTTTTGTTCTCCCTCAGAGCAGAAGACTGAAGATCAGTTGTATTTCTCTCTCCTAAACCAGACAGCAAAATGAAAACTTACTGAGCAAGACTCAGACACAATGTTCCTCAGACACTTTTCTGGGAAGCACAGTCCACAATAAATCAATGGGTCTTAAGTAGCGTGTAAGAGGCAAAGGTCTGCACTTTAAATTTTTGTGGGGGCACAATTACATAAAGCCCAGAGAACTCCTGCCTTCCTCCATTCTGCCAGATAGCATGGAAGCTTTGGGAAAAACAGCTTACTGAGAAGGAATCTAACATCTTGCACTTCATCCCTTATGCCTTGCCCCTTACCATCAAAGCTGCCATGTTCAGCAGCGAACCGGAGCAGTAGGTTGTAAGTTTTCAAAGAAGGTCGGAACACAAATACACCACTATTAAAGCAGTCAGGCCAGCCAGAATCAGGAGCTGCTGAAAACTCTTCTCGATCAAACAATTCATCGACATTGCAAAGCACCTTAGAGACAGTAGGAAAGAAGAAAAATTGTTCTAGAAAACCATATGCTCTAATATGAGCAGCTAAATCAGTACCAATAGAGTAAACTGCTAGTTTAGCCAAGTACATAGCTTGCAGACCATAAAAGCAGTGACAATGCAAAATATGCTATGGGTCAGAGCCTCTATTTCTAATATAATAAGGCAACATTAATTGTGGTTCTTCATGATTTCTCTGATAAAAGCTCAAGCCCTCTGAAACATACCATGAAAACACCCAATTTCCTTCAAGGAAATGGAGAATACCAATCAGGTTAAGGTTAAGACCACTTTTAAAGTTGGTGGAAAGCAAGCTGTGCAGTTGCTGAAAGTCTGGACCCCACCCACAACTGAGCAACTGTGAAAAGCAGGAGAAAAAAATTTTTTTAGGAGAAAGATTACTTCACCGAATTCAAAACAAGCAAAAAAAAATATTTGCCTTCCTCCTTTAACATAAAGCAGGAAATCATAAGCCTCTCCACCTCATCCCCTGAGAAAAATAACTTAATTTGTTTTTTAATTCAAATACATTCCTATTAAATTAAAATGCATCCCAGTCTTCCAAAGTGAGCCAAGTAAGTGCAGGGGAAAGCTGACATGATTGTCCTTGCCAAAATTATAGCCCTTTTTATCTCTATACCTCTAAAAGATTTAAAAAAAAAAAAAAACAAAAAACAAAAAACCCCCCATACACAAACCCCCCAACTAATTAAAGTTTCTGGGCTTTTTTTTAACTCCGTTTTAAGAATGACCTGCCTTCCTGACCAGAATAAGTCCAAATGAAAGTATATGAGAGCGAGCTATTTTAAACATCTGTCAGAAGCCCATTTGCATAGTGTGTGTTTGTGATATCTATTGAGGACAGTCCTGAGGCTACTCTTAAAACAGGATTTATTTCTATTGCAGCTGGCAAAACCATGAGCATAGCCAAAACATGCCAGCTGGAGCTCCTGCAACCTTCTGACTACCAGCAACTCTGGTCACTTTATAGCCTGGTAGGCTGCCTGACAAGGAAGCATCCCGTACTCAATTAGCTCTTTAAGACGGACACAAACATTTCCACAGCTCCCACTCTACTCACCAAAGTGTCTGCATCCATGAAGACACATTTGCTATAATGAGTAAGTGTCCAACAGTGAAGTTTAGTGAAGGTTACACCTAGTTCTGGCCTCTGCATCAGAGCCAAACGGACTGAGTCAGCGCTGTCAAGCGCATGCACCTCTATGACTTCATCAAACACACTGCGGAGGACAGACCTACCAGAGCAAGCGGTGGAGAGAAAGAAGGGAATTTAGAAAGGTTCGTCAGAGTTCACTTCTGGCATGAAAACAGAGACGCACAGTACTGCATTTTTTATAACAATAACAAAAGTTAGACTGATTGGTTAGAGTGAAAAGTCAGAAGTTTAAAGTCTTTGTAAACAGTCTGCTGAAGTGACAGCTATCAATCAGGCCATCAACCATCGCCTCTTCCACTATGGGGCCAGCATCTCAAAAGCAACAGGTGCTGCATGGAGGAGAAGCCAATCCTTATTTTCGCAACTTAATCTCCTATAGAAACACCAACAGAAATTAAAGCAGCTTTCATCCTGCACAATTGTCTCTGAAGAACAGCACCACGCTGCGTTCCCTGAGCATTGCACAGGATGTGGCATGCATTGCCAGCACAGTCATTTGAGTCTATTACGCCATGCCCAGGTAAACGCAGCTTCAAAACTGCCCCTTTTAAAATAGGCAATATATACTTGCTCACTATTACAAATCATCTCAAATGAGACTTTTAGGAAGATATCTTTTTTTAATGCATATCTTTCATAAGAATTTTATAAGTGATACCAAAGTAGGTAATTTCCCTTCAAGACACAAGAAAAAAGTCTTTTAAACACAGCTTACTTGTTTGTGTTACAATATTAACTACAAAGTCCTGGATGTCATACAAACACAGAAAAAGAAAAGCCTGTGCTGATTATCTAGATTTCAGTCATTAGCTTTTGCTTGACTGATCTTCAAGGGTCGGGAGTTAATGGGGAAAGTATTAAAAGTAGGTGCAGATTTTTAAAAGCATGGTTCAGTTATGTACTTTTTAAAAAATGCTATCATTGATTAAAAAAAAATACATTATAAATCTTTTTTCCCCCCCATTGAATGGGGATTTAAAAAAAAAACATGGACATCATATCCACCCAGGATGTATACAGTATTCCCTCAGGAAGGTCACAGTGTTCTGACAAAATCCATACTATGAAAGCCTGTAAAAACAGATTTCTGTACATCTAATCACAGCAAAAATGGGAAAATATGTTTCTTGAGCCAGATGCTTGAGTGGCTGGACCACTCAGTGGATAAGGAATTGGCTGGATGGTTGCACTCAAAGAGTTGTGATCAACGGCTCAATGTCCAAGTGGAGATCAGTGACGAGTGGTGTTCCTTAGGGGTCGGTACTGGGATCGGCACTGTTTAACGTCTCAACGTGACCCAGCAATGTGCACTTGCAGCCCACAAAACCAACCATATCCTGAGCTGCATTAAAAGAAACATGACCAGCAGGTCAAGAGAGGTGATTATGCCCCTCTACTCTGCTCTCGTGAGATCCCACCTGGAGTACTGCGTCCAGCTCTGGGGGCCTCAGTACAAGAGAGACATGGAACTGTTGGAGAAAGTCCAGAGGAGGGCCACAAAGCTGATCAGAGGGCTGGAGCACCTCTCCTGTGAGGACAGGCTGAGAGAGTTGGGATTGTTCAGCCTGGAGAGAAGAAGGCTCCAGGGAGACCTTATAGCAGCCTTCCCGTACCTGAAGGGAGCCTACAAGAAAGCTGGAGGAGGAGCATTTACAAGGGCATGTAGTGATAGGACAAGGAGTAATGGGTTTAAGTTGAAGGAGGGTAGATTTAGATTACATATAAGGAAGAAATTCTTCATTGTGAGGGTGGTGAGGCACTGGAACAGGTTGCCCAGAGAGGTTGTGGATGCCCCATCCCTGAATGTGTTCAAGCCCAGGTTGGATGAGGCTTTGGGCAACCTGGTCTAGTGGAGGGTGTCCCTGCCCACGGCAGGGGGGGTGGGAATAGATGATATCTGAGGTTCCTTCCAACCCAAAACATTCTATGATTCTATGCATTGCAAATACTATCACATAGCATACAGAAATCAGGAGCTTGCACACTTCCCAAGCCATAGCAGATCTAGGAGCTTAAGTAGCTATGGCATGTCATGTTCCTTTTAACAGCAACATAGTCTTCCAAATAACAGGGCATGAGTTCAACAGATCTAATGAGATTTCTGTACACGCAATTTTATAGTGCCTGTAGAATCACAACCTGAGCTGGACAGCAATTTAAAAAGAAAAAAAGAAGAAGCAAAAATAAATTAATTTCTCATCATGATAGCTGCACACCAATATTTTAAGATTATCAGGCATCTGAAACTGAGCCCCTAAGGTTTATGGAGACTTCTGATGTCCCAGGTGGTTATGTATCTTGCTCTTTCTAAAAGAGAAACTCTTGGGGAAAAAAAACAGTAGTGCCTTTATTTTGGCTCAAAAGCAAGACACTAAAACCTTAGCTCCCAAACTTTCAGTTTGTGTTCCCAATTACAGGTTTAAGACAACTTCCAGCCATAAGCTCTACTTTTGCAAGGGAATTCTTATTAGGCTTACAGTCTTACCATGGTTGTTATTTGAGAATCCTCTCAGAAATCACTAGCCAAGGGGCAAACTTCTAGACATAATGCTGTGAAATTCACAGGAAGCCTATTAAAATCTTTCACGCTTTTGTTTATTCTTCCATAATATCAACCTCCAAAAATATATGAATCCTTACCTCATCCCACTGGAAACCTCTGGTGTAATTAGTACTGCCAATTTTCTAGATGTCATATGGTTCCTCAACGACTGTCCGAGAACCAGAGCACCTTGACAGTACACATCATCAGTAGCAAGGGTCACAAAGGCTTGATCCGTTACTGTGAGCAAATATTCAGAAGAGTTACTTTACAGCTTTAACATAAGCTCTTTTGGCAGGTTCCTACAATCTTCCTCCTCCAGCTAACCAACAGGCTGCAGCTTATAACAACCTGCAGTCCCTGTGATAAGCTCTTTTCTTTCCCAAACTCCCCCAGAAGACAAAACTGAATAGAAAATCCAGTGAACCTGATTGCAGAATGTATACTTCTGAATTTTTTGTTTGTTTGTTTGCCTGATTTACATAATAACAAGTATTAAGTTTTCAGACTAGCCTTAAACAAATAATTCCCCAAGTCTTATTGCCCAAACATAACGTCAATCAAAAAAGCCAATCTGTAAATATTTAGATTTTATATTTAACTAACACAGTATAACACAACCAATAAGGAAAATGTTCCTATTTATACAGTGCCAAAAGCTAAGGAAAAAAGCCAGGATGTTAAGTACTAGCCAGAAATGTCCTCTTTCCATTACCTCACCGAATCAACCCATTAGGCATTATTCTTTGCCCTGTCCTCTTTGTATGGGAGTAACTGGTGCTGGCTGAACAAATGCAGAGAAGTTACTACTGAGGTAGGTACACCTCGCAGAAGCTAAGGATCCCTGCCTCAAGTAACTCCATGAAAATGAGGAATGTCCCCCATTGTCAAGAAACCCAGGGGAAAAAAGTTACAATAAAAAGCAAGCAAGCTACACTCCAGCACAGTAGCAGACACAATGTATTTTGTAGAGATACCAGGCCTGTGGCAGTATCAGGAGGGGCTGCTTCTTTAGCTCTGCCCTCCAACAGAAACACCGTTATCAGGGTTCTCTTGGGGAGAACTAGAACCTACAATTGAGCAAGGTGAACAGCGTCCTCAGAGCAGAAGGAAGACCTCAGCTTTCTAGGCTGCAAAATTAACCAGAACAAGATGAGCAGGTCGCACAGATGAGGGGGAATTCCACTGAGCTCTACAGAGTTTCAAGAAATACTTCTGTTGAACTACTTGTTTAAAACCACCATCATCTTAAGGGACAAGTAATTACGTTAAATAAATTAAAACAACCAAACAATAACAACAAAACCACCCTGTCATATAGTTTCCAGGCTCTGTGAGAGACACTAGGAAAGAATCTCACAGAACTAGTTGCGGAGAACCCAACAAATGATCTCATGGCTGCCTCAGCCAGAGGCTGCCAAATTGAATGAGTTCAAACCTCTAACTTAACATCAAGGCATTCAATGAAGTATGGTTGGTACCAGTGACAAGTATTTTCATTTTTCATGTCCTCCAAATCCAGAGGAAAGCACAGACCCACTCATATGCTGTCTTCTCCCCTGCTTTTTGCCCTACCTCCCACTCATCTCCAGCCAAACCTGAATTTGAATCAAGCACATACATCTTATGTTTGCTGGCATTGCAACAGATCCCTGCACCTCAAAAGAATCCCAGGAGTGTTAAACTTCACCCAAAAAAAAAAAAAAAATAAAAAAATTAATCATCCATACAAACTTAAAATAGTTTGCAGATCCCTCAGCTAAAGAAAATTCCAATAACATGTTTAATCACAATTTCCAGAAGAAGCAAACAAAAAAAGGAGCTTTCAAATCTCCCATTATTATAACAGCTTAAGCAAGTTATGGCTGTTCCAGAAAACAATGAATAAGGAGTCGCTTACATAGAGTGGTTTAAAAGGGCAGTTGTGCAAGTGAGGTGCTCCTACTGCAATTTTCCAAAAGGTTAAATGAGTAAATATAAGCATACATAAAAAACCCCAACACCCCACACAAAAAACACGCAAAACAAAAAAACCACTGAAGGCCACTTTAGCAATAAAATTATTCTCAAAAGACACAAAGAGTCAGCAAAGAAAAACACTTTTGTGTTAAGCAACAGGCATCTTCAGCCAAATAAAGGTAATAAAACAACTACTGAGAGGAACGTTGGGGGTAGGTTAATAAAAAAAGCAAACTGTGAAATGAGTGGGAGTTTAAATCTTAAAATACTGTTTTAAATAACAACCACAAAACTGAAGACATAATCTTCTTACTGCTTCTGCAAATTCTTTTAGCTACAGAAGCTGAATTTTTACATAAGTAATACATCTAAAAATATACAAGCTACTCATCAAATACTTCATCAAGTTGGTACGGCAAATTACCACATCCTACGTACGCTTTTATGCCCTGTACCTCTCAGGCTAAAGTTGTGGTCAGAATCACAAGGAAGAAAACTGCCAAACAAATACAGTTTCTAAGAAACTCTTGCTAATATCTCACACAGAAAAGAAACCAATTGTCTCTTTTGAGAATCAGATGTGGGATACATATTATGGCCGCCTTAATAGAGTGAATCATTACAGAGATAATTAAATAGATAATCAAACTATTGACTGAAACCATGCAGCAGTAAAATATTTCTGGTACAAAGAGAGAAGCATGTCCTAGCTATTTTAAAATCATACAGGGGCATCACTAAACCACTAAGGATCCATAGGGAATTAAAATCAGAAGATTGTATCATTACTTGTTCTTTCATCTAATCCCTGTTTTCAAGGAAGAAGTGTTACTTTACTTGCTTCATTTAGAAAGTTCTTTGGAACTCTGTCCCTATAAGTAAATGTTTTATTTTTATAACTGAAAACTAAGGATCAGATTTTCATATAAACTTGTGAAAGTAAACCCTTTACCTGAAAATTCCCATTTAACTGAAATCAAGGACAACACTCCTTTAAATCTAATGTACACAGGGCTTCACTCACTGACTTTAAGCTGCAAAAGAAGATTTGATCATTTAAGTTTGAAGGCCAAGGGTGTAGGTATTTAAAATTCACTGAAACTTTTTAACTGTCAAGTGCAGCTTTACGCATAACTTTCAATTCTTTGTGCTGAATGACAATAGGATTTTTTTATGGAAAATACCTAGTGTGAACAGTATTAAGTTTTCAAGCAAATTGTTTTCAAGCTGTGGAACCCTATGGCTAATACCATTGACTCTCAGTGAATTATGAGAAAAGCGTATGACTAGAGTCACATTAAAACCATGTTGTATGAATTTATAAATCTGCTCATTTCTCTTGTCTGGATTACCCCACAGCACATGAAGATGCAAATTTAGAAATCATTGTCATCAGCAATGGCTCCTCAGTTTTAATACCTAGCAATAGTTTCTCAGAACAAACCAAGGATTTTTGAGCTTATAATTTTGGTGAGTTATTTTAGAGCCTGCTCTGCAGCTACAGACAGCAACACAGAAAAGACAGCAAAAACAATGTGAATCACTACAGTCAAGGTGATTTTATGTGAAAATTGTTACGCTTTTTTAGCCAAGATGACCAACTTCTTATGCTACTCACTCATAGCAGTAGTACCTCTGTCAACACTGCCACAGGCAAAATTCTTCTGCAGACCTGAAAAACAATTCTAGGGCAGCTAAAAGCCTTGCTTGGAATCCACACCACAAGCGGACTGGGTGGTGCTCACTTTGATGTTCACATAAAAAAAGAGAGAGTGAATGAACAAACACCAGGTGCCCACTCAGAATCAGGACAGACTCACCATAACAAGCACTGAATGAACCACATGCACCTGACAGCTTCAAGACAAGTTTAAGTAGAGTGGGATTTTTTTCTTAATCCACTAGACATAGCTTTTTAATATATTTCGTTCTTTCTTCTGATAGACAAAGAAAAGATTAATGTGCTCTAGCTGTGACTCCTAGAGTAACAATTCAAATTTGCCAAGTTGCCCACTTCAGAATTGCAACAGGAGACCAGAGACTCATATGCTACAACTTTCCTACCAGCATATTCTAAATAACACATTCCCATCTTATCCATAAAAATAAAAGCAGACAACGCAATAGCTAAAAGCCTGCAACAGGCTGGTTAGGTCCCCACCATGTACTGCCATTCATACGAACCAACATTGTAACATCGCTTTCTTAAATTCCTCCCTGGTACCATCTGTTGCTATTTTGTCACCTCCCCCCTTCTACTTCAGACACAATCTGCAGGACGGGGGCAGGCGGCAGTCTGGACCTGTGCCCGCCGAGCCCAAAACACCTTTCTGAAATCCCGAGCGACGATGATATAAAACACAGCCCCAACTCGCATCACGTTTTCTAACAACAATTTTGTTACTCCCCCTCCCACACATAGGTCCCTACGCATCCTCCCCCAGAAACATGTCTCAGTGAAGACGTGTTAGACTACTGCAAAGGTAAAGCAAGCTACAGGCCTTCTCACTTCTCTGATCTAGCATGACTGTATTAGAAGCACTTGGAACAGAAAGCTCTGCTCCAGCTGACACCCAGAACCTTAAAAACAGTCAAGAACTATTTTGTTATAAGTAGGTAAAATTAATAATGATGTCAGACAGTAACCTATGTCAGAAATTATTATGCAAGTTTTCAGCAAAGAGGCACTTCTTGCCATAGTAAACAAATCACAGCTGGCAATTTTAATTCCCATGCTTCCTCAGTCTGGGTCCAACAGTAGAAACATTTACATTACTGATGAAGGTGGCACCACCAACACTTTTGCACAGACCTTTTTATAACAGAATATAAATTGACATTTAATGGCATGCAATATTTCTCTTGGTCTAACAAAGTTCTGCCTGATGTAAAACCAGATTCTCTCTTATCCTTTATTAAAACAATACTGAATTTTAGTAGACAGGATTATGACTGTTAGTTTGGAGGGCTATAGAAAGTGTACTTGTTTCTCATTCTGTGTAGCTTTTACTATATATCTTTCAGCTAAAAACAGTTACATTCTGCTTCAAGACCCTGCAATTTTGTTATTCAACAGATAGCAAATTATCTTTATGAAAAATCAAGTGCAACAATATTATACTATGCAAATAAGCATAACAGCACCCAAAACTAGTCCCAAAATACTAACATACCAGTTTGAAAAAAATGTAGTAATAATTGCTTAAGCAATCCAAAGCCAGCACAGAGGACTTGATACATTAAGTTAGATCTTTCCAGTCTTTCAACTCTCCTTTCAAGAA